TATATATAGAATCGTACATGTAAAGTCGACTTAAAATCTATGTTTATACTATGATAAATGCAGTTTAAAAACTACTGAAATGATCACAAAAAGTATAGAAATTTGTTTGGTAGATTATTCCTTAGTAATGATGCTTCTTGGCAACAAATCTTGATTGGCTGTACCTGAGAGTACTAAAAGCTCAAAATAAGTCTCAGTTGAACAAAAAAATAAATGTTTTGGCAGAACAAATTTGGTAAATTTTCTCCAAGCTGCTGGTACACACTCAGCTCTCATCCCACAAATGCACGTTCCTTACAAATGTGGCACACTTTTAAGAGGTAAATTAACAGGCTTTTCCAATAGCATTGCCAAGAAACATTACATCAAAAGAAATAATCTACAAAACACTAGTTTCCTTTTTGTGCTAACTCCATCTGGTACCAAAATTTAACTCAAGAGCTAATGGAAGCTAACTGGATTCAAGATGGCCGCCCCAGCTAATGAACATTAGCCAACACAAAATGGCAATTTCRGGTAATAAAACACATTTGAACAGTTGCTCCCTTCAATCTTCTGTATTTAAAAAAATGATATTAATGTTTTTATGGCGGGCTGTGCTTAGAAAGCAGGTGGACACTGCAGCTCGTTTCCCGCTCTGCGCATGCGCGTCAGAGCGGCGCGTCTGCTTGCTTGCGCGCTCCCGTGCGCTAACCGCCCCGCCCCCCTCCTGTCCGCCATCCGGTCCGAGTCCCCGGTCTGACTGTTCGCTGACTCAGTGCCTTAAAGCAGCATCACCGTCCATCCGAGCAGAAGCCCAGCATCGTCTGCGGAGAAACCCAACTTCAGCCATGGCTAAAACAGTGACCGGTGAGCAGCCATGTCTGAGTGGATCATGGATGTCTGGTTGGATGTTAATGGATGGATGTCTGGTTGGATGTTAAGATGGATGTCTGGTTGGATGGATGAACCAGTCGGCCCGGTGTTGTTCACCGTCTGGTAGCGATTCTTCTCTTTTCATAACAGCTAATTAAGATAAAAGAAAAATAAAAGCACTAAATCTTACCTGCTTTTATTTTGGTAAATGTGGAGGTTGGATGAGCTGGAATCAGACAAATATAAAAAGGCCTCCACTGGTTCAGCATCTTCCATCGTTTCCACTTGATTTATATTAAAATGACTCTTATTTTAAATCTCGTATAGCACGCATAATCCTGTTTTATTCCGAGTTTTTATAATCCACCTTCTTCCGGAGCTCCAGCGGCCCCCTGCAGCATGATGCAGACGGACCCCACCCAAAGATGCTGAGCTGCCCGACACAAAACCTGACGGTGCTTTATCTTTATTTTCTACATGATTTAGTTCGGATTAAACCCGTTAAGTCTTAATCTAATCCGGTTTGTCCATTTTTTTCTTTGATATTCATCCTTTTATTCCTGTAGGCTTGTTTTCCTCCGCTCAGGATGCAGATCCAGCTGTGGCAGGTGTTGCAGATCTGAATCAACTAAAACATGTTTCAGCTGAAAGCTAGATCTCAAAATTAGACATGTTTATATATTRACCTGCTGTGGTTAGCAGGCCAGCTTTTCAGCATATCTGCCTTTGTGGGTGTGTTGATATTTCGCTGTCTTAAAAAAAATCATTACATTTGTTGGTTTGATGAGGTTTTTTATGCTGACTGAGTTCCTGTGAGGCGTGTGACACGCGGATGGCACGGTGCGTGGAGGCAGGCCAGCCCTGCAGCAAGGGGGGCCTCTGCAATCCTTTCTCCGAGGAGCCAGGTGGGCACTTGGTCAAAAATATGCGAAGGACGTGACGAAGAACTTTGCAGTCGAGATTAAAGATAGAAACAAGCACAGTCCAGATCATGAATCAGCAGTTTCTGACAGCTGTGACGACACATACAGATGGAGCTTTTTTACTTACCTGCAGGACAAAAATGAAGCAGGTTTGGTCTTACATCAGTACTTTCTTTTGCTGTAAGGAGAAGCTGGAAGAACCTTATACAGCTCCCTCATTAGGAGGCATTATCAATAAATAATGAAGCAACACCACACCGCCATACATTTACTCTGTTTCAGGCTTTGAAATGGATCGCTGATGCAAAAGAAATCAGATGAGTCATATTTTAAGTATTCAAAGTACTGCCAAAAGCAAAACACCGAGCAGAGTTTTGCCTTTGTTTGATTGTTAGCAAAATATCTCATGAACCTGTTGAAAGACTTAATTGACTCAGAAAGTAATCACTAGTGTAAAAGCTGAGCAACCTTAGCAAACACAAAAATGGCAAAAACTCTACCAACAAATCACGCAAACTCACAAAATCACAGAAATTACACATCACTTTTATTTTTTTATATAATTTTTTCATTTCCAGTGGTGGGCAGCACTAATCTAAATATTAGTTGCACTAACCCTAAAGCACTAACTCAAATATTTAGGTCATCCAAATTTAAAGCACTATAATCCAGCTGAAACATGAGACATTCTTCAGTCAACATGAGACAATATTTACTGTGTGCAGAATGTTGTCACTTAGTGTCCTTGCTGGGCCAAATGGGAGTCACCTGCAGGCCACATTTGGCCCCTGGGCCTTGAGTTTGACATGTGACCTTATAGATAAGTGACACATATGAACAAAATGTGTGACAGTTTTCACCCTCAACTGTTARTAATGTTGGATCAATAACATTTAAAGACCTCAGTTAGTGCTTCTAAATTTATCAAGTGCTAATCCACTAATAAATTTAATAAATAGCAAAAGCCCTAAAGCACTAATCAAGAAATTTGTTCCCCTATTAGTGCTTTAGTGCTTTGGGGAAACCGTGCCCACCACTGTTCATTTCATTAAAAAAAATTCACATACAGCAAAATGATACAAACCAAATAAAAATGAAATGTAGCAGAATAATAAAAAATCTTATAATATTGGCCCTGTTTTCAAAAAACAACAATTTCAAACAATAATAATCAAACAATAAAACAAAAATGAAAAAATTCAATTTCTCAAACAGTAACTCTTACAAATACAGATTAAACATTTTCATCTTTAACAATTTAACTTTGATAATTTTTTTATACAAATTAAATGAATGAACCAGCATTTTTTATAATCATTTACCAGATTGTTCCACAATCTTATTCCTTGGACTGAAGTACATCTGTCCTTCAAATTTGGTCAAATTTTTGGTTTTACAAACATTTCTGTCCCTTCAGATTATAGCAACTTTCCCTCTTGACAAAATGTATGTGCCTTAAACATAACCTGCAGAATATTTACCAGGTTTGACTAAACTGGCTACAACTCCACCTTTTTCATCTTAATTTAAAACTCTGGTATGAATAGTTTAGTT